GCGCCGGGCCGCCCCGCGCTCCCCGCACCACAACCGTCCGAGCCTTTACGCGGCGCGCCTCACTTGCGGAGGCGCAGGAGGAGACTGCGGTTCGACTTGACCTTCTTCTGGAGCTGGATGAGCCCGTAGAGGAGCGCCTCGGCCGTCGGCGGGCAGCCCGGGACGTAGATGTCGACGGGCACGATGCGGTCGACGCCGCGGACGACCGCGTAGGAGTAGTGGTAGTAGCCGCCGCCGTTCGCGCAGGAGCCCATGGACAGCACCCAGCGCGGCTCGGGCATCTGGTCGTACACCTTGCGCAGGGCCGGCGCCATCTTGTTCGTCAGCGTGCCCGCAACGATCATGACGTCGCTCTGGCGGGGACTCGCGCGGAAGACCATGCCGAAGCGCTCCATGTCGTACCGCGCCGTCGCGCTGTGCATCATCTCCACGGCGCAACACGCGAGGCCGAAGGTCATGGGCCAGATGGACCCCTTGCGCGCCCAGTTCACGAGCTCATCGACTTTCGTCACCATGAATTCGACTTTGTCGTTGCCGCCGTCGAGCATCTCGTCAACCTTGGAGGCGCGCGTGAGCGAACTCTGCTGGCGATAGGAGGTGGCGGACAGCGCTGGAAGCGTCTTTTGCGGAGCGGCGGCGCCGAGGAAAAATGAGCGGGTCGCCGGGGCGGCCCGAGAGGCGGCCCGCGACGCCGGCGCCGCCCGGGGCGCGAATGAACGCAAGAGAGGGCGAAGCATGGAGGCGTGTAGAACCGATTAAGGGTTTGAGGGGCCCGAGGCGGCTTAGAGAAGGCCTCGATTTACGGCGTCGAAGGACCCGATTTACGCTGGCGGCCGGTCGACGAGCTGATCGACCCGCAACCTCGGGAGCCCACAAAGCTCGCCGGGGTGGCCGGCCGGCCGCGGCGCGCGCGCGCGCACCGATGAATTTGTTAACCCGAGGAATCGTACCAATCGTGCCCGCCTGGCCGTCGGGGGTGCAGCAAGCTTTTGCCAGCTCTCGCAACCATCTCGGGACTACTCGGGACAAGATCAGGGTACATGTAACGCTGCTCTATGCCGGCAACGCCCCTTCTCGACAGACCGGCGAAGACGCCGCTTGGAGCCGCCGACGTGTTACGACTGGCAGCGCAGCTTGTCCTCGTCCGCGCGTCGTTCGACCGGTACATCATGGGCAAAGGCGCGCAGCAGCTGACGTCGCCGCCCTTCAAGGATGCGGCGGCGAAAGACGTGCTCATCCACGGCCAGCTCTACGACGTGACCAACTTTAAGCATCCCGGAGGGTCCATCGTCAAGTTCCTCACGAACAACGGCGACGCCACCGAGGCCTTCGTCGAGTTCCACGGCCGGTCGAAGAAGGCGCAGGCCATGCTCAAGGCCATGCCGAAGGTCCCGGCGGACGCCGAGACCATGAAGGCGCGCGGCTACAACGGCAAGGAGGCGCGCTCCAGCGTCCTGCGGCCGTGACGAATTTTGAGAGACTTTGACCGCGATGAAAAAATCGTCACCGACGTGCTTCGTAGGCCCTCTCCGTCGGCTACGCCAAGCTCCGCGCCGAGTTCGAGGCCGAGGGCCGCTTCGACGCGAACGCGTCGGAGATCGCGTACCGCATCGGCGAGGTCGTGCTCATGCACCTCGTCGGCGCCTACCTCATCATGGCCACGGACCACTTCTTCAAGGGCCTGCTCTGCCTCGGCATCGTCTCGGGCCGGTGCGGGTGGCTCATGCACGAGGGCGGCCACTACTCGCTCACGGGCGTCATCAAGACGGACCGCTTCCTCCAGGAGGCGATCTACGGCGTGGGCTGCGGCATGTCGGCGGCCTGGTGGCGCAACCAGCACAACAAGCACCACGCGACGCCCCAGAAGCTGCAGCACGACGTCGACCTTGACACGCTGCCGCTCGTGGCCTTCCACGCGCAGGTCGCCGCCAAGGCCAAGGGCGCGCTCATGAAGCAGTGGCTGAAGCTTCAGTGCTACCTCTTCATCCCCCTGTCGTGCCTCCTCGTGGCGTCGGGCTGGCAGCTCTACCTGCACCCGCGCCACGCGCACCGCACGAAGCGCGGCAAGGAGCTCGCCTTCATGGGCCTGCGCTACGTGCTCCTCTTCGGCGTCGTCTTCAAGGACCTGACCTGGCTCCAGGCCCTGGGCTACTACAACCTCTACAACCAGATCGCCGC